TTGAGGCAGAAGTCACCAAGGTATTTGTTTAATTTCAGCTGAAAGTGATGCCAGTCTGCAGTAATCCACCCTCAAAATAAACTGAGATATATAACACAGTAAAACATGCACTTTTACACACTTTTCAGGTTCAAAATTTCCACTGCCCCCAGTGGAAATTTTGTGATTGGCCAAGCCTGGATGAAGTCAATGAGGTCTCCCTGTGGAGGCAGGAGTCCAGCATGCCCCAGCCAATGGGAGAGCGCTGCCTGGCTTCAATGTAAATTCCTCTCTGTCCAATGGTTGCAAAGGGACTGGCAGGTCTTAGAACAATGGGGCTCAGGACCCCTGTGGGGGGGTCATGAAGGAGTTTCAGAGGGGTCACCAAAGACCACCAGACAAGATATTTCTGATGGTCTTATGAACGCCTTTGGCAGTGAAGGCCAAAGATCTCTCCACCTGTCCTTCTCTTCCTTTTTGGAAACAGAGGGCAAATCCTCCCATCATAAGCCCTCCTCTGCTATGATTGGCCAGCCTCTCAGCCAAGGGGAGGGCTGTTTCTGAGACTTCAAGTAGGGAGGGGAGAGAAGGCATGTTCAGCGCATGGCCACATGGTGTGCATGTGTGGGTGAGGGAGAGCGTGCGTGGCTGGAGGGAGGCTTGCACCAGGGAGTTCCTTCAAGGCATTGGGTTCTGTGTGGGAAGTTTGGCCCAATTCTGTCATTGGTGGGGTTCAGAATGTTTTTTGATTGTAGGTAAACTATAAACTCCCAAATGACAAAATTAATTCCCCTCCTACAACCCCACCAGTATTCAAATTTGGGCATATTGGGTATTTGTGCCAAATTCATAACAGTAGCAAAATTACAGTTATGAAGAAGCAACAAAATAATTTTATGGTTGGGGGTCACCACAACTACAGGAAATGTATTACGGATTTGCGACATTAGGAAGGTTGAGAAACCCTGCTCTATACATTATTCCAGAAAGGTTCTCCTGTTGCACAGTATGTAGAAATAATTTGAAGAAAGTAAATAGCAAGGAGGGAGGAATATAAGGCTGGATCTCCTTCACATATTGGTCTCCCCTCCACCTCAGAAGAAGACATTGATACTGGAGTTTCCCAGATGTTTTTCAAGGCACCATAGGATTGCAGTGTAAATATATTGAATATCATTGTGTGTATGCGCCTTCACCAACTGACTTATGGCAACCCCATGAATTTCATAAGTAGTTCTTAGGTAAGGAATACTCAGAGATGGTTTTGCCGGTTCCTTCCTTGAAATATAGCCTTCAGCATCTGATATTTGTTAGGTGCCTTTCTTCTAAATATTAAAAAGAATGCATATAAGATCCTGTTGAAGCTGGCCAGAAACATACTCCATACTCTGGTCTTGGAGGTTAATAACCAGCTGTCCTGATAACACTTTCATCAATAGAAAATTGGTACTGTTCAAAGCTGGGGTGAAAATTGCTGGAAGAAACATTAACAACCTCAGATATGCAGATGACACCACTCTGATGGCCGAAAGCGAGGAGGAGCTGAGGAGCCTTCTAATCAAGGTGAAAGAAGAAAGCGCAAAAGACGGGTAGCTAAACAACAAAAAAACCAAGATTATGGCAACAAGAATGATTGACAACTGGAAAATAGAGGGAGAAACCGTGGAGGCCGTGACAGACTTTGTATTTCTAGGTGCAAAGATTACTGCAGATGAAGACTGTAGCCAGGAAATCAGAAGACGCTTACTTCTTGGGAGGAGAGCAATGTCCAGTCTCGATAAAATAGTGAAGAGTAGAGACATCAGACTGGCAACAAAGATCCGCCTAGTCAAAGCCATGGTATTCCCTGTAGTCACCTACGGATGTGGGAGCTGGACCTTAGGGAAGGCTGAGCGAAGGAAGATCGATGCTTTTGAGCTGTGGTGTTGGAGGAAAGTTCTGAGAGTGCCTTGGACTGCGAGAAGATCCAACCAGTCCATCCTCCAGGAAATAACCTCGTTGTGTCGGACCAACGTGCGGAACCTACGATCAAAAAGACTCAAGTGTTCCACCCCTCCAGCGTACCCTGACCCACTGCCTGCGATGGCACTCCACATCGCTCGAGCTGAACGCTGCAGAGCCAGAACAGTGGGAAAAAGGTAGGAGAAACCTTAGAAGGGCTAACTCACGGCACGTTAGGCCTCAGGTCCATTCGAGTCGAACGGCAAGAGTCCAGAGAACGTAACAACACACACACCACACAAACAAACTTTGGTCGGAAGAAACTGAACGAATGAACAACAACAACAACTGTTCAATTAACTGGGTCACCAGGAGGTGCTAGAGAGAGAGAGGTAAAGGTAAAGGTTTTCCTCCAGTTGTGTCCGACTCTGGGGGGTGGTGCTCATCTCCATTTCTAAACCAAAGAGCCTGCATTGTCCATAGACATCTCCAAGAACATGTGGCCAGCATGACTGCATGGAGCGCCATTACCTTCCCACCGGAGCGGTACCTATTGATCTACTCATCTTTGAAGGCTGGAAGGTGGGTTGAAGGAGGATGACCATTTCCCCGTTTTCCTGTTATTCTCCCCACCCATGTGTCCGTGGTGGAAACAATCCTTGTTTATGATATGTGAAGGAGGGGAGGGGACATAACCAGTGACAAGATGAAAATGGTTTTCCTCCTTCAACTCCCCCTTTGTAAAATTGGCAATCCTTCTCTCTCTATCGCCCCTTGGTGGCCTCTTCCCAGATAATGGAACAGTATCCGAAAAACTGAAAATAAAAGAAACATTCAAAGTATGAGCTATCTCCATAGGGTCCTATTGCTGCTTGATGAATCTTTACGAAGTATATATTTAGCATGTAATAGTGATTTTCAGCACTCACAAAAGCAGCCAAAGAACACTTTTTTCCTTCTCTCTTAGAGATGAAAGATCAGTGGGGGAGTTTTCTCTTTTGTTTTTAGTAACTACATTATTTCATTCAAAATTTTACTTCTTTACAAAGTCATTGCATTATTTGGTCTCTGGGATATAAGCAAATAAACTGGCAACAATGGTGCACTGCCACATTTCTCTACAAATCCTCAAGAGAGAGTTCTAAAATTTGCAGTTTCTCCTATCTTTTCTTTTCTAACATTTCTGATATGCGTTGTCCAAGTCTTTTGTGGCCGGAATCACTGGATTGCTGTGAGTTTTCCGGGCTGTATGGCCATGTCCCAGAAGCAATGTCTCCTGACCTGAATCCCCACTGACCTAGGCAAGTGGGGTTTATATATCTGTGGAATAATGTCCAGGGTGGGAGAAAGAACTCTTTTCTGCAATCAGCCAAGCTTTGAAGCAGTAAGGCCATTAAATGCTAATCAAGACGGCCGATTGCAACATTCACACTTGCCTCAAGCAGACAAGAGTTCTTTCTCCCACCTTGGACATTATTCCACAGATATATAAATCCCACTTGCCTAGTTTCCAACAGACATCACAATTTCTGAGGATGCTTGCCATAGATATGGACAAAATGTCAGGAGATAATGCTTCTGGAACATGGCCATATAGCCTGGAAAACTCCCAGAAACCCAATTTCTGATATGGCAAACCAGAAGGGAGCTCTTAAAATCCATTGGTATGAAATAAATACATTTTAAGTTTAAAGAAGGCAGACTTTGAAGCGAATTATCACCCTATCAGTTTCTGCAGGTATTTGCTTATACAGTGGTTCTCAACATGTGTCTCCCCAGGTGTTTTGGTCTACAACTCCCAGAAATCCCAGCCAGTTGCCAGCTGTTAGGATTTCTGGGAGTTGAAGGCCAAAACATCTGGGGAGACACAGGTTGAGAACCACTGGCTTATAGGAACAAGAATCCTAGCCATGCTTTCTGCACAAACAGATGTGTGGGACTACGCTGACATCTAGTGGGTAAGGAATGGACAAACTGGAGTCTCACCCCCTTATTTCCCTTTGCCAATCTGGGAAATTAAAGCAAAGGGCTTCTCCAGACTGGCCTCAAACCCCATGATTTGGCAGGAGTTGCACTCCTTCTCTCCTCTCCTTCAGGAAGAAACTCAAGCATTCGTGCAGCTGGCTAAGCAACAACTGTAATGACTTGTAAGAATTGTCAGTTACGAGACCTTGGACTGGAACTCTGGACTATGATTTGGATTTGCGTACTCAGACTTGGTTGTGTTATAATATAAGGCTGGATCTCCTATTTTAAGGGCCAATATTTTAATGTATTTTATTGCTTTTAAAATATATTTTTTGTTGCTGTTGACTTGTTTATGTGAATTGTTGTGTTCTAACCGTTTCTTTGTTGGCATCTAATGACTGCCAATTATAAGCCGTCCTTAGTCCCCCTTCGAGGGTTGAGAAGGATGGGATACAAATGCTCTAAACAAACAAACAAACAAACAAAGTGGTATTATTATTTCGCTTGATCTAGGTAACATACTCCTAGAATTATTTAATCTGCCAAAACACACTGTAAACTCATGTTTGGCTTGTATTCTACTAAGGCCCCATCTACACTGTCATATAATGCACTTTCATAATGCAGTTGGACTTCATTGAACTTCATTATATGGCAGCATTGACTTATATAACCCAGTTCAATGCAGTTAAACTACATTCTGAAAGTGTTTTATACAGCAGTGTAGATGCATCAGTTCAAAGCAAATAATCTGGATTTTAGATGGCAGTGTAGATCCAGCCTCAAAGATCTAACTTGCCCAAGGTCACCCAGTGGGTTTCTAGAGCTGAGCAGAATTTTGAACCTTGCAACCTACCATCCAGTACTCAAAACACCACATTCTGCTATTGCAAGACCCTTAAAGATCCTGCCCTTGTTACGCCTCATAGATTACAAGATATGTAGCTACCATAATCCCTTCAAGTTGTTTTTCGATTTCATGTTGACTGCCTGAGCTTCCAGAGCAATAGGAAGGTCAGCCCGTGTTCTAACTGGTCGACTGGATGTTTTAATCCCACAACTCATTCAGAAGGACTGCACAAACAGTACAAAGTTTACTGGAAAGTTAAGGTTTAATCTTTTGTAGTGACTGATTATGTCAACGTTTTCCCCAAATTCATGGTGAAGCAAAGTGTTGTAACTAGTGCTGCTTGGTCTTCATCTCTAGAAGTAAGTTCATGCTTTTGAGGGGAGTGGGGCATAGATAAGGTGTATAAAATAATCATTATTTACCATCTGTGGTCTGACAGTAAACCAGATGACAGCTCAGCTAAATTATTTAGTTGGCAGCTGAAGGCTCCAATGCATTAGATTATGTGAACTTCTGTCTATGATTATGCCTTTACAGAGCCTTTAGAACTGCTGAAGGGGCTCAATTTTTTAATGAAGCATTACAGTCCTAAGGGGAAAAAATTCTCTATTTTGGGCTCTATTCTGTGCAAATTTACATATGACATTTTGTGCAGAGAATGGCATTTTCTGCACAAAAATTCATACTATTTTAGGAGATCAGGAATAAATAGTGAACTCCTAAAATACTTGTCAGGGCCCTTCCACACAGCCATATGACCCAGAATATTGTCATAAAATACCACAATATCTGCTTTGAACTGGGTTATATGAGTGCACACTGCCATATATTCCAGTTCAAAGCAGAAAATGGGGGTATTTTAATCAGCTGTGTGAAAAGGGCCTTAGTCTTCTCCTCATTGGGGTTTCACAACATCCAAGAAATAGATTTTTCAAGGTTTTTTTTAAAGTTATTTCCAACCCTAGAAAGCAATAAAATGCCAATTGACAAATTACAAAATCAATCAAAATTAATTAATAATTAACAAGCAAACATTTTAATAATTATTAATTAATCAAAATTAATTAATAATTAACAAGCAAACATTTTTTTTAAACTAAGTTCCAAGTGTATATTAAAGATAGCGGAAGTGGCAGTGACTGAACACAAAAGGGATCTTAAAGAGACGGCTGGCAGTTAATTGAATTGTTGATGCAAGGTGCAGCTGCTACAAATATGGCAGATTTTATGTTGGGCGTAATTAGAAAAGGAATCATAGCTGTACCTATTTCTGCCCTTATACCAACAGTATTCACATATAAACACTGTGTATACTTTTAGTCTCAGCAACGAAAAAGGATACTGTAGAGTATGAAAACAACACAGAACATGGAAAACTCAATACTTGAAAATATAGCACACACAGAAGCACAGCTCTGGAAAAAGAAATGCCCTCCTCTTATGACCTCATCAGACCAGTTGCCCCACCCTCCACATTGCCTGACTCACCTGTCACCCCATCCCAGAGGGGGAAGCGTCGTCCTCCCAGCTTCCCCCCATTAATCTCAATTGGACATGGGAAGTCTTTCATGTTGCTGCTGTGGTGTTGTGTGCCAGTTTGCCTTCCCTTTTGCCATAGAGCCTGCTGCCTCCTATTCCATGTTGCACAGATACTTCCAGTGGGGCTTAATGATAAAAGGGAAGACGAACTGGTGCATGCTGCCATGGCAATAACACAAGAGACTTCCCATGTTTAATTGAAATCAATTTATTTATTTTTATTTACCATACTTTTATCCCTCCCTTTTCAGCTCCAAAGGCGACTCAGGCAGCATACAGACTGGCAACAATTAGATGCCGGACACACATAAATACATCATTTAAAACAGGTTAAATCACCTGATAAAATTAATATAAAAAACAATTTAAAACTATAAAAATAAATGACTTCTGGGTTTAAATCCATGTCCATTTACATCATTAAGCCATTCCATATTCATTCACAACACTGATTTTATCTGGTTAAAATGAGGTTCCAAAAGCTTGCTCAAAAAGCCAGGTTTTTACTCTTTCCCTAAAGGTCAGGAGGGAGGGGGCTGATCTAATATCCCTGGGAAGGGAGTTCCACAGCCGAGGGCCACCACTGAGAAGGTCCTGTCCCTCGTCCTCACAGGCCATACAACCCGAAAAACCTATAAAACCCAATCCACATGAACTCCAAATTTTTTTTTTAACTTTTATAATGGATAAATCAAACCATACAATTCACCATTCTGGACACAAGGTGGCAGTAAAGGTATAACAAATTCATATACAATAACTCCACCAAGGCTGAGAAATCCACTAATCTGAAGACCACTGTGTAGTTATTACATGAATTACAATGAAGTTTTTACTGGGACCAATAGTTAAGTTTATTTTTCTTTATAATTACTACAAGAAAACTGTTGCCTTTTATCATTAACAAACAATAATACTAAGATTGTTGATATTTTAAAACACATTTTCCTTTTAGAAAACATGTATAAATGATTACATTTTATATTAATCTTTGCATTCATGTATGCTTCCTGGAATGGCTTCCAAGGATTGAAACATTCAAAAACATGTAATCTGGAGCATTTCAACCCACCACATGAAAATGAATGATCACTGTCCAACAATCTGCAAAATATCTTCCTGCATTCCCAGCTATACTACATCTCTTTTTCAAAACTAAATCCAATCTAAACATTCCATATCCAGAAACCTTCAGTCAATCCACTCACAACATGCCTTGCTTGTAAGGACTTCACAACATTGCCCACCCCAATAATATAGCAAAAAATTGTACAATTAATAAATAAGAAAATAATACATTATCAAAATACCATATGATGGTTCCATAAAAATGCAACTACAATTTTTGAGGTTATTCTTTTTAGCATCAAATACTGTGCTATCTTTAGTTTCCTATAAAACCCTATTCTTGGTTGTGAATGCACTTCTCTATCAGACTGCTTCAAGATTTTTATTTCCAGTTTATACTGATTCTATTCCCTTCTTCCCAGGCGTTTCTTTGCTTGGGAATGGCTCTGGTGTGTTTGTCAGACTTTGAAGCTTATGCTAAAAAGCATCTTTCCAAGGCAGTTTGGGATTTTGTGGCTGGTGGTGCAGATGAATGTTGGACCCGGGATAACAACCTTATGGCATATAAGAGGTAGGATGGAAGACAAAAAAAAAATCATTGCCAATGATTAGAATTCATGTTAGAAAAAAATTATGAAGAGCTATAGACTGGCTTCACTGAACTCTGGTGAAACACTAAGACATAAGAATAGCTGTCTTCTGATCAATTGACTTCACTACACTCAAATGAGAATAGCTGGTCTGACATCTACCAGAACAGAAATTAGATCTGAAAAAGTAGCTATATAAGGAGAATGGGGAGTTAAATGTATCGCACATGTAACTTTCTCTTCAGAGATCCCAGTGTCCCACTTTTCTCAGGCTGTCCACCACTAAGTGCAATATTCATGATCTACAGAGTTGTTCTGTAGGCAAATTCAACAGAGGAGAAGATTTTTGATCTTCCCTTTTCTAATATACTGGTGTGATAAGTAAATGTGCTCAATCAACAAAATTGGCATTTTAAAATTATAGAAGGTGGACTGATATTTGAAAAGAACAAACCTTTTTTATGTTCATGGCTTTGCACATATTACACATATTTTGAGCAGGAGGCCTTTTAATAAAGTATTTCCCTTCTTTCCATCCTTTGATTTCATCAGACAGGCCATTATTTGGCACCATACGTCGGTTCCTCTTCAGTTTTGCCAAGGAGCCCACGGGCTCCCATTCCATGATGGACAGCTACTTTCGGTGGGGCTCCATTGCAAAACTGAAGAGAATCGGAGTATGCCACCGTGGAAACAGGGGAAGCTTCCCAGGTTGCATTAGCAACAGAGGGAGAAGCTGGGCAGCAGACATTTTCTCCTATGGGATGAGGTTAGAGGTAAGTTGGGCCTTTTCATTAGCAGTCATTTGTATCTCTTTCCACAGAATCTATTTACGGCCACGTTTGCTGCGAGATGTATCAGCTGTGGACACAAAGACCACTATTCTTGGTACTGAGATCAGCTTCCCAGTAGGGATTGCCCCCACTGGATTCCATAAGTTGTTTTGCCCTGATGGAGAGCAGAGCACAGCAAGAGGTAGGCTAGAAGCTCTTTGCCATGAAACAAACAATTTTAATGGAAACTTGGTAGCATTGGGTGCATCTGTACTGTACTGTATTAATGCAATTTGAGGTGTGGGTCGGTTTAACCTCTATGTAACTTGCTCATATGTGCTGCCTTCTAACAACTCCTCATCCTCACTATCCAAGCTGGCAATGACACAACTGAGCTCATGTCCACTTCCTTCCATTGCCTTTAAAGCAGGTGCAGCCATGAATATCTGCTACATTCCCAGCACTTATTCCACATGCTCTGTGGAAGAAATTGCTGCGGCCGCCCCTGCTGGTGTCCGCTGGTTCCAGCTCTACATCCACCGGAGGAGAGACCTCTCTGAGCAGCTAGTGCGGCGGATGGAAGCCTCGGGGTTCCAGGCCCTGGTGGTCACGGCTGATCTGCCATTCGCTGGCAAGAGGCGGGATGACATCCGAAACAGTTTGCAGTTCTTGTCTTCTATGACACTCAAGAACTTTGAAGGAGCCTTTGAGGTTTGTAAACTTATACCAGTATTTCAGCGAAATGTTTATGATTTTTAAAAAGGCCAAGGGACACAAAGATGTATATCTGCATTTTAGTTTTTTAAATACTTGCTATAGAAGACTTTCTCCTAAGAACCATGTAAACCATTGTAGTCCCTTTGGATCCTTTGCTGCCTTTAGATCTGTGGTTCTCAACCTGTTTGTCCCCAGATGTTTTGGTCTTCAACTCTCAGAAATCCTAACAGCTGGTAAATTTCCTGGGATTTCTGAGAGTTGTGGCCCAAAACACCTGGGGACCCACAGGTTGAGAACCACTATTTATTTATCGTGTCATCCGCAACCAGAACATTGTATTACATTTCTAAGACCCGCCGCAAACTAGACTCCTGTGGGAGCAAACCTTGCCAGCACGTCCCTGACGTCATGAGGCTGTGCCTCTCGCCCCGCCCCTTTCTCAGCCTCTTTCTCCGTGCCAGAGTGGTTTTTCCTTTGCTAGGGCAGCATTGCCAGCATATTCTCTCAGTTGAATTCTGCCAACTGAGAGAGTACGCTGGCAATGCTGCTCTAGCAAAGGAAAAACCACTCTGGCACGGAGAAAGAGGCTGAGAAAGGGGCGGGGCGAGAGGCACAGCTTCATGACGTCAGGGACGTGCTGGCAAGGTTTGCTCCCGCAGGAGCCTAGTTTGCGACGGGTCTAACAGAACAAAACAAACAAACAGATTTAAAAAACCCACAAATTTTGCAAACTTGGTAGCTGATTAAATGTTCTTTGAGCAGTATCTGGCCACTTATTTATAAATATTTATTTATTTTATTTAATAAAATGAATAAATTTATATAAATAAAAATGTAATGTTCGTTTGTGGGATTAACATAACTCTAAAACCACTGGACGAATTGACACCAAATTTGGACACAAGACACCATCACTCATAAAAACACTGAAAAACATAGTAGAAGGGATTTTAAAAAGCCAAAAAGCAAAAAGACGCTACAGCACATGCACAAAAATGACTACCCCTGGCAAACAAAACACACAATAGCATATCCACACTCTTTTCTGGACTACAGCTCCCAGCATTCCCTAGACCAGGCCATTTAGGAGAGGAGGAGGATCCAAATGCACTGCTTCCAAGCTGCAAGCTTTCATCTCCTTGGATTTCTTTGAGAGCATCCCAATCCCTGCATATTTCCAATTTCATATTCCTGGACTGCAACTCCCAGCAATCCTCCAGATAGATATAGATATATTAGATAGATATAGATAGGTAGATAGAGATAGAGATAGATATGGATAGATAGATAGATAGATAGATAGAGAGATAGATAGATAGATAGATAGAAGTAGATAGATAGATAGATAGATAGATAGATAGATAGATAGACTGCTGGTCTGGATAAATAGAGGAAAGGAAGGAAAAGGGAAAGAAAGAGGGAGGAAGGAGGGACAGGAAGGAAGGAACAGAGGGAAGGAGGAAGGAAGGAAGGAAGGAAGGAAGGAAGGAAGAAGAAAGAAGAAGGAAGGAAAGGAAGGAAGGAAGAAGGAAGAGAGAAGGAGAAAGGAAGAGAAGAGAAGGAGGGTGGGAAGGTTGGGCACAGCAATGCGTGGCAGGTACAGCTAGTCACAAAATATATGTAAAGCTCAAAACTACAAGTGTGCTGGAAAATGCTCAAATTAGGCTTTCTTGGGCTCAGGTTTTCCTGACTTATGCAGTGATACAAAATTCTACTCGGCCTTATGATGGGGCTCCACTAGGCTCCCAGCTCTTTTTTAAGCCTATCCTTTCCTGTATCCTTGCAATTACCGTACATTAGCACATCTTTGGATGATACAGAATGAAGAAAATCCAAGATCAATAAATTTTTGATTACTTTAAAAGCTCATTAAGGGGTATGTGATCCCAAACAGTCTGATGCTGTTTTCCCAAAATGTTACTGCATTCCTATAAATGTCCACTAGAGAGCAGGCAGAGACAGGAAAAACAAAGATATGCATTGTTTTGTTCATGTAGCAAAGCAAATTTATTAAGTTCAGTTTCCAAATCTAAACATTCACCTTTGAGGCCCTTTCTACACTGTGATATATAATCCAGATTATCTGCTTTGAACTGGATTATATGGCAGTGTAGACTCAGTGTAGGCCACTTTTACACTGTGATACATAATCCAGATTATCTGCTTTGAACTGGATTATATGGCAGTGTAGACTCATATAATCCGATTCAAAGCAGATAATGTGGATCATCTACTTTGATAATCTGGATTATATGGCAGTGTAAAAGGGGCCTGAGCTATGTTCTCTCATGATATATCTTAAAAATAGCAGTCTCAGTTTATTCATTTTTATTCATCTTGGCGTTTAGTAAGAGTTCAAGTCTGAGTTGCTCTAGAGCAGTCATGGGCAAACTTCGGCCCTCCAGGGATTTTGGACTTCAACTCCCACAATTCCTAACTCCCGGTATCATATTGCAAATCTTTCTTCAGCTTTCTTCATTAACCACCTTTAACCACTATACATAGTCTTGTGAATTGGTGCAGGTCTGTTGGAAAAGAATCATAAAAGATACAAATAAAAGGAATTTATTGATCTTGAAGTGCAGAGGGTTAAATAAAATTATGCGTAAACTCTGAGTAGATCTGTGTTGGGAGCCAAGGTGGCGGGTTGCACTGGAGGTGGGCTGAGAGGTAATTGTATTGTGGGTGGCAGGTTGTCCATATATGTGTATGTGTATATGTTTGTAATGTTTATTGTGGGTGTATTACAATTTTTAAATAAAAATCTATTTTAAAAAACCACTATACATAGGAACTGCAAATACTAAGGAATGGATGAGTCTGATATATTTAATGACAGGTTGAGAATCTTATCCCCTGGCCTATCAAATCATAGGGCACATCTACCCTGTAGAATTAATTCAGTTTGACACTAATTGCTATAGCTCAATGATGTAGAATCATGGGTGGTGTAGTTTTATAAGGTCTTTAGCTTTCTTTGCCAAAGAGTGTTGATGAGTCGCCAAATTATAACTCCCACGATAACAGACCTTGCATTTTGACAACAAGAAACCGAGGGCCCTTCCAAGCAGGCCCTATATTCCAGGACCCAATCCCAGGTTTTCATCTTTAAAGTGGATTATATGAGTCTGCGCTGCCAGATAATCTGGGAGTAAACAGAAAAACTGGGATCAGATTCCAGGATACAGAGCCTGTCTGGAAGGGCTCTGAATAAAACTGAGCGTGACAATTTTATTGGCTCTACAATCTGGAAATATTTCTCATTATTTGCCTCTAGAGTCTTGCCCTACCTCAAACTCTAGATCTTTCTCCAAGGAGCAAATTCAGGGCCCTTCTGATAAAGGCATGATGGAAATACATAATACATATATTGGAAAATATATATTGGATGTAACCATATTAGAAATAAGAATTAGAAAATATATATGATATCACAAAGGTATATGTGTGCATGAACTTCACTTCACTTGGGAAAATATTATCTTCTTAAAAGCTGCAAATTAGGTGCCACAAAGACGTCAGAAAGAGGTCTAAGGAAAGGAATGTCTAAGGCTTCTGGCAAATATCATGACCCATACCAAGCAGGACTTATCATAAGATTAATGAGCTTTGTTATCAAGAGGCTTCTTCAGGAGGGACTTATCTTAAGATCAGGGGCGGCTCAGCCCATTATGCAAAGTAAGCATTTGCAGTATAGTTGATTTTGCCCAGGGGCACTCTTGGGGGAAAATAGACCTTGACATATGCGAGTTGTAGTTACTCGGATGTATAGTTCACTTAAAATCAAAGAGCATTCTGAACTCCACCAATGATGGAATTGAACCAAATATGGCACACAGAAGTCCCATGACGAACAGAAAATATATATCAATGATTGGTTGGGGGGGGGGGCAAAATACTTTTGGCTTACCATTGAAAATTACCTAGGGCCGCCTCTGCTTAAGATGGATGGAAGTCCTTGTTATCAGTAGCCGGGTGCAGACATTCTGGCGCTATGGGGTACAGGATGGTCCTCTAATGAGCAGCTCTTTAGATAAAGGTGCTTAATGGAAGATTGAAAGTGTTGAAGTTAAAATATGCTATTGAAGTCAATGTAAAAGTGGAATTTTGTGATGCACATTGTGATGCTTGTATGATGCATGCGTATTATTTTAAAGGGTATATAAACCAAGGTACCCTGTTGTTCAGCACCCTGTTGCCTGGAATACCAGCAGGGTTCATATCCGGTTGGCGCCAACCGAGAATAAACCGTGCTTTTACAGACCTCAGGAACTCTCTTTGGTCTCTTCTTTATACCTGCTCCCTGCCATTTCACTTCTACACTGTCATATAATGCAGGTTATCAAATCAGATAATGCACATTATATGCTTTGAACTGGATTATATGAGCCCACACTGCCATATAAAAATTAATAGTTAAAAACCTTAAAACGGATTTAAAACATATTAAAAGCTAAAACCGCAGTACCCTCTGACTTGATCTTTTAGACCTTATGCAGTCCCAATATATGCCTAATATGTTAAAATGTATGTAAACTAAAATCAAGCAGTAACAGAGAAACATTCCTTATAGGGAATATGTATTTCAAAGTATGGTAAGTTAGATACATGCTGAAAAACAGTGTTAATAAGGGTCTGAGCAGCAATTAAGTACTTTTCCGTATTCCAGGAAAATGATTATTCAGAGTATGGGCTGCCCCGGGACTCCATAGACCCCTCTGTCAGCTGGAAGGATATCGCTTGGTTAAAGAGCTTGACACGTCTGCCTCTCATCATCAAGGGGATTCTGACAAAGGAAGATGCAGAACTAGCAGTGAGACACGGAGTTCAAGGGATTATTGTGTCCAACCATGGAGGAAGACAGCTGGATGGGGTACATGCAACGGTAAGTGGTGAGATTATTTATAATGCCAACATCCATAGAATTCTCCATGTCTACAGGAGTTTGTTTGTGTGTGCACACATGTGCATACAATATGGATTGTTGCAGAAACAGGATTGGAAGAAATAAAAAGTAAAAGCAGTCATTGACAAAAAAGGAAAACATATCTCTGCCAAATTGGAATGTTAAACAATACAACATTAATAAAAGGTACCTTCTGGCCTTTTGTTCTGAGATTTTTTTGCCTTAAAGAAACAATAATTTATTAATTTATTATTTTCTTCTATACTTCACTTATTTACTTTGTGTTGGAAAGAATGTGTGTAGTGGTTTCAGCACTGGTTGATGACTAGATGACTGAAATGACTAGCAGACTGAAACCAAAACCAAGGTTACAACAACATTTGTTATAGAACTCCAGTATGCTGATGACAACATCGTCTGTGCACATTCAGAAGAAGATCTACAAGCCACTCTAACATCTTCGCAGAAGCATACAAGAAGCTCGGCCTGTCATTGAACATCGAGAAAACCAAAGTGCTGTTCCAGCAGTCACCAGCCAACTCTTCTCCAATGCCAGAGATACAGCTTAATGGTGTAACATTAGAAAATGTTGACCATTTCCACTACCTTGGCAGCCACCTCTCCACCATAGTCAACATCGACACCGAAATACAACACCACCTGAGCAATGCGAGTGCAGCATTTTTCTGAATGAAGCAGAGAGTGTTGAAACATAAACTTGGCAATGCTGCATACAAAAATCAAGCAGTGCAACAAACTTACACAGTCTTTGTAAGAAACACAAAATAAGGCATCTTCATCTTACAGCAAATGAGAGATCAAAATAAACTTGGAAGTAAATAGCTATTTCACCATAGCCTCCTTCAGAGTAGCTTTTCCAAACTGCTCCCCAGAGTCTCATCAGAGAAAAGGCTCTCCAGAAGCTCTCCTTCAGCATCTCCTGCTGGAACTCCAGAATGTATTCAAGAAAAATCAAACAGCTATAGCCCCTTGGGCCACACCCAGGCTTGCTGGTTGACCTACATTTCCAGCTGTACATGATAATTAAACACAATAAGGTTTTTCTTCAACACACATATACTTGGTCCTGCAAGGACTTATCATAACACCAAGGTGCCTAAAAACAGAGCATAATTAAAATAAAATAAAGCACAGTATAAAAATACAATAAATAAATAAATAAGCATATAAAAACAACAACTTGGAAGAGGTCTGATGGACGTTTCTCCCGAGAACTATAGTTGTGTATTTCTACTTAGCAGGGTTTTTAACCAGGTGATCCTTGGGGTCCCTCCCAGCTCCATGGTCCTGAAATAGACTTTTCTCTTTGAGGGGAGAAACTGGGAACACAACATCACAGGGTGCCTTTGTTTTCACCCACATTTGTGTCACTATTTCTATATTGTTAAGAATTTGTAACTTCTTGTTTCCTTCCAGATTGATGCTCTAGCTGAAGTTGTAGCAGCCGTGCAAGGAAAAGTTGAAGTTTACCTGGACGGTGGGATACGAACAGGAAGTGATGTACTGAAAGCATTAGCAATTGGGGCGAAATGTGTCTTCATCGGAAGGCCTGCCATTTGGGGTCTGGCTTATAAGGTGAATATAGTGGCCGGGTACCTGAGTGACTATGAGGAAGGTTACAAATTAAAACACAATTGCAAATGAATAGCAATTTACTTAATTTACATACTCATGCATAAGCCTAGACATTTCAGTCAAAATTCACTCCCAAAACCTGGCCAGCAATGTCCAGGGGCAGCAATGGCACTTTCCTTCCTATATGGAATGATCCTCAACTTAACCATGAGTCAAAGCAAAATCCATAATTTGCCCCCAAGTCTACTCTCGATTTACACATGAGGTTGACCTAGGCACAAGTATATACAGTAAGTAAATGTTAAAAAAAAAGCTTTCTTCATTCCTGTTACATCTGAACCTACTGACTGAAATCTGCTTGAAGAGTTTCATCTGCCATCTATTCATGTTTCTCCTCTTTCTTTTTTCTCTTTCTTTTTCTGATTCAGCTAAGACCTTTTGGCATTTATCCCTCAATTGTTTTATTTATTTATTTGAAACATTTATATTCTGCCCTTCTCACCCCGCAGGGGACTCAGGGTGGAGCACAACATATATACGGCAAACATTCAATGCTGAGACATAAAACCATAAATATATACTAACATTAAAATCACTTATATTCACATTAAAAGTTGCTAAAAAACCATCTCAGGACACCATTTTGCCTCATTGCACTGCCCCAAAGTCTTGGTCCCACAGCCAGGTCTTCACCATCCTTCTGAAGGACAGGAAGGAGGAGGCTGATCTAATATTGCCAGGAAGGGAGTTCCATAACCCGGGGGGGGGGGAGGGGGGAAATCACTGAGAAGGCCCTGAATATGCCACTGGACAGAGTTCAATCTTTATTGAGTCTTTATAAAAATGTGGTATGCTTCTTGAGATCCTTGAAATGTAAATATTTGTATCTCCCAGAGAGATGCCATGCAAGAGGACATGGGCTTGATATGGTTACCTGAATGCCTCTTAATGAAGAAACGAACCACCTACTGCTTGCATTGCGTTCCCTTCCTCTGTTTCAAGAAGGAGTTCACCCTTTGCCTACTTCTCAGTTCTCTTCCTTCTGAAATCTATTAGACAGCATGCTACTTACAAGAACTAGGACCTTGTCACACGGCCAGTGGCTGGTGGCGCTCTTAATGGTAAATCATGGAGGCGGTCATCTTGTCTCTCTTAGTCTTGGGCTGGCATGGAGAGAAGCGAGGTGTGCGCATAGTGTTCTTGGCTTCCCCGCATGGATCTGGCAACACAGGAAGCCTCCTGTGTTGCCTGGGTGGCAGAGGGAAGCCTTGTGCTCTGTGCGCACACCTCACTTCCCACCATGGGATTGCTGGCCAGCTAGCGAAGCAATCCAAGATGAAACGAGGCAAGACAACTGCCTCCATGCCTCGCTATTAAGAAAAATGCTGCTGCCACCAGCCACTTGATGTTTGACAAGGTCTATAGTTAGCTAGTGGGGTGTGTGAAAAAACTGAAAGGTCCCGTCTTTGGCTGTCCCCTGTACTGGGAAATTCTTGAAAACAGGAAAGGTGTGTCGTTTGGTGCCAATGGGGAAACTTTAGAGTCTTGTTTTGCTATCGTTTTTAGGCCTATCAGCATGAAACTTGCCTTACTTGTAGGCCACATTTATGACTGCAAGTCTGTCAAGTTTCAGATCATTTCACTAATCTACTAATTTTTTAGGAATTTTAAAAAAGTTTTTACCATAACATTTTTTTAAAACTCCCAAGAGGGGATTCTTGGAATTGAAATGCCAAGTGCATTCTCCCCACAAGAGCAGAGGAGAAGGGACATAGTCTACAAAATCTCTGATCGCTGAGAAAGAAATGTGAGAAACAGAGAGGTATTTAGGGCAGTGTGGAAGGGCCCTAATATGACTTTCTAAGTGACAGTCTTTTTCTTTGTTTGATCAGGGTGAAGAAGGATTGCTACAAGTTTTGAAGATTTTAAAAGATGAATTTTCCATGTCAATGGCCCTGGCTGGTAAACACTCCTACTTCCCTTTTATTTCTGTACTATAGTCCTTACCACAAGATATTTATGTTCTGTCTAAGGTGATAAGGATAAGCTGCTAAGGGGATTGTTAAATAATGTGAAAATATTTATTAAAATGTTATTTAAAGGCAGCATTTAAACATGAGTAACTGGAAATGTTGCTCATTACACCAATGGGAATTTTGGTATTTTTTGTTCTGACTATCTTAGAAAAGTGGCTTCCAAGTAAGTCGTTACAGGAGATAGTGAGCTGTAATTCATTATTTTCAAGTTTGCTTATAAACATGCTAAATTATTTGAATTTTCAAATCATTTTAGAGGTATCACTAATTGAAAAATGCGGGGTATTAGGTATTTTTTGCTGTTTCCAAATAAGTATGACTTGGGAGGCTGAGCTGGGGGATACTACATAGATACCCAACCACAGGGCCTCGGTGGTGCAGTGGGTTAAATTGCTAAGCTGCAGAACATGCTGACTGGAAGATCAGCAGTTTGAATCCATGAGACAGAGTGAGTTCCCATTGTTAGCCCCAGCTTCTGCCAACCTAGCAGTTCAAAAACATGCAAATGTGGGTAGATCAATAGGTAGCGCTTTGGCAGGAAGGTAACAGTGCTCTATGGCTACATGACCTAGGAGGTGTCTACGGACAATGCCAGAAATGGAGATGAGCACGACCCCCAGAGTTGGACACAACTAGACAATGTCAAGGGGAAACCTTTACCTTTTCCCAACCACAGTGGTTACACATTCATAGTTGTCTCTGGGAATTCTGACCCAGAAAACTATGAGTCTATGAGAAGAAATCCACAAGCATTCACTGTCTGAACAGCCCATGATAAAAACACAGGGAAATGTTAGATTTCCCTCTTAAATATGAGTACATATTTTTTTCCCTGAGATCATCCACATATAGTGAAGAACCTAATGCCTATATCTTTAACATTTGGTTGTTTTTAACTTCATTTCATTCAGGTTGCAGAAATGTTTCAGAAATTGACCAGCGTCTTGTTCAGTACTCCAGATTGTAAATGATGTTCCTGCAGTGCTCAGCCAACAGAAAAGATCTAGCACTACGAAGTCCTCCAGTGATTGGGAAGAATAAAGACTAGCCAGTATGTCAGAACACATCCTGTCATTCCATCCTGTCCTGTTCAATATGTGGGACAAAGCAGACTGTTTAATTGTGAGTGGTTAAATGGATTTATTGTCGAAGTCTTTCATGGCCAGAATCACTAGGTTGTTGTGAGTTTTCTGGGCTGTATGACCATGTTTCAGAAGCATTCTCTCCTGATATTTCACCTGAATCTGTGGCAGGCATCCTCAGGGGTTGTCTGGAGAGACGTCAGGAGAGAATGCTTCTGGAACATGGCCACACAGCCCGGGAAAACTCACAACAACTCGGTTAAATGGATTGTTCAGGACATCTATTTGCAGCAAGCTGCAAGAAATCATGAGTAACACATAGTGTGACAAATTATCTCAGCAACCTTTTTGGTGATGACACTGCTCTGTGCCTCTTCAACTCCAGGGAGAGAGTGCTGGAATCACAAGGTTTTACCAGTGTGGCAAAGGGAACAGTGATACATTTTATGTATTATCAGAAGTTTACAAGATCAGTGACATTTTAAATCAAGTCCTGAATTACCATCGCATCAAGCACCTGGACATTACCATATTCTCAAGATTGGCAAATGGAAAAAACAATTTCTATGCAACTTTGCCCATGTCAATGTACAGGCGAAAACCCTAATTGGTTGTTTCCATCAACCCTAGCAAGACCAGCTGTTAAACTGTTTATTTCCCAGCCAGTTGTGAATGCAATGCAAAAATCAGAATATATATTTAAAATGGAATAATGAAAACTCAAAGCTGTTGTGCACTGTTAAAGCATCTTAATTTTTAATGTGTTCTGAATAAATGAATATGTGAATCTCTTCCTCTCCTGCCTGCAGTTGTATTGTAATTATATTCATTCTGAATTACACAGTGAGAATTGGAGGAATACGCTAAATGTTCCCACTTTAGGGTTTCTAAAGCAGGTTGGCTTGGAATGTACAGCCAAATCTTGCTTGCCAAAATGATATCAAGTGAAAATTCCACAGATTGTTTGATTTGATGTCCTGCTTCGGTGATAAGCAATTTAGTCCAAAGTCACAAACAATGTTAGAAACCTTTTTTGTTGACTCCAACTGTTCTCTCTGAGATAGCACTGTTTGTGCTGAGGAGACACCTCCTGGTGTCCTTCATGGGCATTCTGCATGTCCCACTAATAACAGCTTTGCCAGCAGATTCATTGCTGCTCTGATAAGATGGAAAAATAACACCATGGCAGAGTATGATAGATTTCAAGGATGTTCAGTGTTTACCCAGAGTCAACAGCATTAAGGACATCCCATCACCATCATACAAGTTTTGTTACAGTTGTCCCATTGGGTTACACAGGTCATGGAAGAATTTCAAGACTCTTGGAAAAATGCACACATGTCTGGTGACTAAATTTTGTTTTATCTACTTTCATTTAGCTACATAAATGCCAAGGCCAGGAGCTCAAAAAGGCCACATGAATTATTATTATTATTATGTTGTATAACTAGTCTTTAGCCCGCAAAAGGCAAAGAAAATAACAAGGTCTGGGCGTCTACCAGTTACTGCCCTCTGAAATGCATACCCCTATTTCAAGAGATTGAGAAACAGGGGAAACAATGTCCATCTGCTTAGAAGGTCAAAAGTACCAAAATCTCTGGTTCTCTTTCCCTGTCGCCCTTGTGCTGGAAATTATTGAGACAGAGAATGCCATTAGCCTCAATAACACTATGTAACATAATTTTTGTTCCTGGGTTATAAATGTCATTTCCTAATTGGTTCTATCAAAAAAAAAAGGAAAAAGTTTATTAAACTGTAAAAACTTTGTTTTTGTGGGAGATCCTGCAGCACATTTTGCTAAAGTCTTTTAATAACTATCTCATAGAGCAGGGGTCCTCAAACTTTTTAAACAGAGGGCCAGGTCACAGTCCCTCAAACTCTTGGAGGGCCAGATTACAATTAAAAAATGAGTTTCTATGCACACTGCACATATCTTATTTGCAGTGCAAAAACACTTAAAAACAATACAATAACTAAAATAATGGAGAACAATTTTAACAAATATAAACTTATTAGTATCTCAATGGGAAGTGTGGGCCTGCTTTTGGCTGATGAGATAGGATTGTTGTTATTGTGTGCTTTCAAGTTGTTTCAGACTTAGGTTGACCCTGAGTGAGGGCCGGGAAAATGACCTTGGGGAGCCGTATCCGGCCCCGAGGCTTAGTTTGAGGACCCCTGTCATAGAGTCTAAGTCAATCCAACATAGTTTGTGGCAGCCACAAAAAACAAGTTAAAGGAGTATAACAACTACTTTCAAAAATTGTGTACCCCACAATTAAACAGGACATTTATTTATTTTATTTATTTACCTTATTTATACCCTGCCTTTCAGTATCCCTGTTTTATTTTTATTTTACTTTCTTTTTTAAAAAAATCTGGATTAAGGAGCATTTTATATTTAAGGACCCCATGTACTTGAATCTAATGCTCGCCTTTTTTGGCTCAATGACCTCATCAAAATTCGGGTACGCACTAGACTCATGTAGATTTATGTTTTGTTTTGGTTTTTTTGGGTTATGTGGTTTTAATATTTATACTAGGATGATTTTATGCTTTGTCTGAATGTTTACATTTTATGTCTTATGTTTAATGGTTTTAATGTTTTTTAAGTCAAAGTTATATGTAGTAATTAGTTATCATGATGTCTTTGTGTTACTGTATGTTGGCATTGAATTTTTGTCATTAATATGTTGTAAACTGCCTTGAGTCCCCCAGTGGTGAGAAAGGTGGTATATACATACAGTAAATCAATCAATCAATCAATCAATCAATCAATCAATGTAATCTTCCATAGGAGGCTTTTCTTTTGAGCAAAATAATGTGGCTGCACTATTTACAAGAGCAAGGTTACCATAACAAAATAAAGTTCAAACTTCATACTGGAGCTTCATACACAAAGCCTTCTCATACTGAGGACTACCTCACACTCTGAGGCTTCTCTCACACTGAGAATTCTCTCAGACTGAGGCGTAACTAAGCAACAGACACACTTGCTTATACTGAACTGCAGTTTTGCTGAGTCATTGCATCCATAGTTTTCTAAGATCTACAGAGACACTCGCTGGAACACCTCAGCAAGCGAGAGTCCAAAAGTGGCAGGCTCAAACCCAGAACCTCAACCAATGGCTGATACCAAATGAGAGACTCCCCCTGGGCACACAGAAGACTGGGCGACTTGGAAGATGCTGAACAGCCTGCGCTCTGGCACCACGAGATGCAGAGCCAACCTCAAGAAATGGGGCCACAAAGTGGAATCCACGACATGCGAGTGTGGAGAAGAGCAAACCACTGACCTCCTGCTGCAATGCACCCTAAGCCCTGCCACATGCACAATGGAGGACCTTCTTGCAGCAACACCAGAAGCACTCCAAGTGGCCAGATACTGGTCAAAGGACATTTAATCAACTACCAAACTTGCAAATTTTGTTCTTTGTCTGTTTGCTTGTTTTGTTCTGTTAGAAATGTAATACAATTGACTGGTTGCCCTGACACAACAAATAAATAAATATCCACATGACTCTTTCAGTGTTTGACTTATATTTTTGTAATTAAAAATACCTAGTTAATTTTTAATATTTCTGACAAAACCTCCCTCCTTCTGATGATGTTTCTGATCAATTTTATAGAAAGGAAGAACTATACGTAACAGAAGTAGGAAAAGAAAAGAAAATCACAGTAATCGTTTTTAAAAAGTGAAGAAGAGAAACATGTTTATTTACTGTGCACACTCAATAACCATACATTATTTAAACCAAAAAAGAAATATATATATATTAAATTCAAAAAAAGAAAAAAAAACTTTAAAAACCACAAGTAGAGGGAAATCACAACAACATTGACAACAAAGAAAAAGATGAAAGAGAAAAAAAGCAAAAGAAAAAAATATTCAACCACAATCACCCAATTAGTATCATTATTAAAGAATACCAGAAAGCAGAGGCATCCAAATGGGGGAATAAAAATTAAAATTAAGGGGGGAGCAAGAAGAGAGAAAAGTCCAAAAGGGAAAAGGTACGTGCACACGCACGCACACACAAACTTATAAGTGGATATAATAACTCAACTTTCCACCAGATTTTGGTGTGTGCTCATGTGCATACTTAGTTCAAGCAAGTCTAAACAAACCACTTCCAGCCAAGACTCCAATCTATGAATAATGTGAGTGTCCTTGGCTGTTATCTCTCCTGATAGGTGCCTTGACAATTTTTTTCTCACATCTGGTTTGCTTCAAATATAGCACAATGTATAATTTAAACTTATCAAATGGTTAATGCATGTGCATCTGTCATTTTTTATTTATATTTCATTTTACAATTAGTATTTTCTAGGTTTCTTCACAATTTCAGGTTTTAATGTTTTTACTGTAGTTTCCAGCATGATAATTGCTTTGGTAAAGGTAAAGGTTTCCTCTGACATTGCAGTCTAGACAAGTCCGACTCGGGGGGGGGGGGGGGTGCTCATCTCCATTTCTAAGCCGAAGGGCTGCCGTTGTCTGCTCAAAGGTCATGTGGCCGGCATGACTGCATGGAACACCATTACCTTCCTGCCAAGGCGGTACCTATTGATCTACTCACATTTGCATGTTTTTGAACTGCTAGGTTGGCAGAAGCCGGGAGTAGCAGCAGGAGCTCACCTGGTCCTGTGGATTCAAACCACCGACCTTCTGGTCAGCAAGTCCTCCAGCTCAGTAGTTTAACCCGCTGTGCCACTGCGTCCCCCAGTAAAGCAATAATAATGTAAATAGAAAGATCTGAGTTGTGTTTGCTTATCTTCAAGTTTATTTTAATACAGCTTGCAATACATCTCTTCCTAATTTGGGGCAGCTAATGCAGTACTTAAGATGGTAGATTGACTCAAATAATCCACAATGAACAATGTATTCTTGTAGTATATAATATAGCTTTTAATAAGCATTTATACTCTAATTAGTTGTCATTGAAGAAGTCAGACCAGTAATTTGATTTTTCTTAAATCACATTATCTACAAACAGTTAATAGTTGTATTCTTTGTTGAAGAAGGTTGTTTTATTTAGAGTTTGTTTTTTTACTTGAGCAGTTCAGCAACAGTAGTATAGCAGATGGTTTACCTGTTTAGAAAACTGAACACTCTTCGATCATGGATTAGTGTCCTCATTTTTATTTTTATTTTCATTTTTATTTTTAACTTTTATTTTCAGCCCCCCCCCCCCCCGAAATTCTTATGGTGGATCGCGAAAAGGCCTTACTGGTGCATTATTTAAACTGTTATGTTTATTTTTTTAAAAAATATCTTTTTATTTAGAATATGGGCTCTTAGAGTAGAGCAGGATAGGAAAGTCTAAAATCTAAAAAATTTGATATCATATCATGATCTGATCATCATACTCAATAGATCCCATATGCATGGGGGTATTGGGGTAACGATACAAAAGGTTTGCTAGGGTAGACCTTCTTTCACTCAGACTCAGCCCCCCCCCCCCGAAACAAACTCAGCCCCCCCCCAAATCGAAATCATGGCTACGGGCCTGCTACAAGGGTTTAGGATACAGTGATCGGGCATTCACACAATGTGGCCAGTCCAGCTGAGTTGATGGCGTAGGAGCATCAATTCAGTGTTGATGGTTTTTGCTCCTTCCAGCACGCTGACATTTGTCTGCCTGTCTTCTCAAGAGATTTGCAGGATTTTCTGGAGTAAACGCTGATGGAATCATTCCTGGAGTTGAGTGTGATGTCTGTAGACTGTCCACGTTTCACAGGTGTTTAAGCAGGGTTGGGAGGACAATAGCTTTATAAACAAGCACCTTGGTCTCCCTATGGATGTCCTGATCCTCAAACACTCTCTGCTTCATTCAGAAAAATTCTGCACTCACAGAGCTCAGGCAGTGTTGTATTTCAGTTTCAGTGTTGACTTTTGTGGGGAGGTGGCTGCCAAGCTAGCAGAAATTGTCAACATTTTCTAATGTTACACCATTAAGCTGTATTTCTGGCATTGGAGAGGGATTGGCTGGTGACTGCTGGAAGAGCACTTTGGTTTTCTTGATGTTCAATGAGAAGCTGAGCTTCTCATATGCTTCTACAAAGGTATGTAGAGTGGCTTGTAGGTGTTCTTCTGAATGAGCACAGACTACATTATCATCAGCATACTGGAGTTCTATAAAAGGCGTTGTGATTTTGGCTTTCAGTCTGCTGAGGTTAAATAGCTTGCCATCTGTCCGATAAATGATTTCCACTCCGGTGAGAAGCTTCCCATCAACAAGATGAAGTGTCATAATGATGAAGATGGAAAATAAGGTTGGGGCAGTAACACATCCCTCTTTGACACATGATTCCACCTTAAATTGGTCACTTTGGGAGCCATTGCTGTCCAAGACTGTTGCCATCATGTCATCATGGAAGTTCCTTTATACACTTGCCCTGATCCTGTTGCCTTTGCTGTTTCTCCTTTTCTGTGTATAACCCTAACATTACTTTGGGAAGAAAGAGTGAAAGGGGATAAGCAGAAGCAGGTAAAGAGCTGAGCATCTCAATTTCATCCCTGGCTTCTCCTGGCTATTTTGTGCATATTTGGTAGAAACTCCTGTCACTTGTGAATGTGACACCCCCCCCCCTATTTTATGTCTTTTGACTACTCAACCATCTGTGAACTCAAGGTTGATAAAACTCATAATATTATTGTCTTTACAGGAGGCAGAGTTCACTGGTTGAAAAGCTTCGAACAAATATTTTATTTTTTAAATCAGAAAATAATTTCACTATCACCATACAAGGAAATCCCAATTTATGAGTCAACATGTTTTTAAACCTATCACTCTTTATCTAAGAAAGGTTATTATGGCTAGTATTTTCTATTTACACCGTTCTGAAGCTTTTTCCTCTCTTTCATATATATCCCTGATACAGCTAAATCATCTGTATCAACATTTTTTCACCAGGACAAGTTTTTGCATTCCCAAGTTACACAAAGATAGGAATCCCGCTGGCCCACAGGGACATAAGATTAATAGATGCCCTTACACAGTGCAAACAATATTTTAAGAAGAGTCAATTGGTGTTAAAACAATTTCCAAAAAGACTGATTGCCTCAGTAGATATGGTTATACAGTCAGAGTTTGGCACCAAATCTCAGCTAAATCCTCATATGTGATATTTTCCTCTGGTTGGAAATTGTGAGATCCTAAATCATTATAAGCGAGTCCTCAAAGGCCCCTTCTTCATTGCCATATAATCTAGATTATCAAAGCAGATAATCTACATTATCTGCTTTGAACTGGATTATATAGCAGTGTAGATGCATAGGATCCACATTATCCACATAGATAATCCACATTATCTGCTTTGAACAGGATTCTATGCATCTACACTGCTATATAATCCAGTTCAAAGCAGATATTCTGGATTTTATATGGCAGTGTAGATGAAGTCTAAACATCTCTCTTCACCGTGCACTTTAGGAACAGGGCAGATTGCTGGATTTTTAGTGTGTACTGGTGGAGCCACATGGACATTTCTCTGTATCGTGAAGTGTTATCTTATACTTTGTGAAATCCATTGCCAGTGAATTGTGGTATGTGTCTCCTTTAAAATGTACAGTGGGTTCTCTATGTTTGTGCAGGACAGAGGTGCAGAACCCTTGTGAAAGTGGAAAAACTATGAATATACAGCTATATATATATTTCCTCTCAATCCTAGTTTTTTTAGTCACTACTCAGGCAATGCCATTCAAAATTAAGCCTTTTCACGCTACCATAAAGGAGCCCTCGGTGGTGCAGCATATTAAACTGCTGAGCTGATGAACTTGCTGACCAAAAGGTCAGTGGTTCAAATCCGGTGAGTGGGGGTAAGCTCCCACTGTTAGCCCCAGTTTCTGCCAACCTAGCAGTTTGAAAACATGCAAATGTGAGTAGATCAATAGGTACTGCTCCAGCGACAAGGTAACAGTGCTCCATACAGTCATGCTGGCTGTATCCAACTTGATATCCTTTCACAGAATTTTAGAGTTACAAGACCACAAGGGCCATTTAGTCCAAACCCCCCTTATGTAGGAATAGAGCTCAAACAATCCTGAAAGATCCCAATCCAAATACGTCTAAAATGGGGGTTTCAACACATTCCAAGGTAATGTATTCCACTGTTCAAATGTTCTTCCAATGAAAAAGGTGATTTTGTTGCATCAGTATTCCATATGGCTGTAAATCAAATTATAACAAGGATGTGTTGATCCATTCTTGATGAAATGTATATTGATTTTCAGCAAATGTCTCCAGAATGTTGGAGAATGTTTTTAGCACTAAATACCTGTGCAGATTTTAATAAGCCATGTGGCTTTTCACATGGACATTGCTGTGTAGTAGACTAAGAGGTAGAATAAAACTTCGCCAGATCTATCTAATGAGAGACAATGTGATATAATGAGCTTAATGTTGGACTACAACTGTGGAGAACAGGGTTCAAATTCTAGAATGGCCCTGAAAACCCATTTATAGTGATCATAAGATGAACACATCATGAAGTTTTTCTGGCAAGATTTACTCAAAGTAGTGTTTTGCTGTCTTCTGAGGCTAAGGCCCCTTTTACACTGCCATATGATTCAGATGATCAAAGCAGATAATCCATATTATCTGTTTTGAACTTGATTATCTGATTCTACATTGCCATATAATCCAGTTCTAAACAGATACTCTGGATTTATATGGCAGTGTAGAAGGGGCCTCATGCCCCTTCCACACAGCTGTATAAAATCCCACATTGTCTGCTTTGAACAGGATTATATGGCAGTGTAGACTCAAGTAACCCAGTTCAAAGCACATATTGTGGGATTTTCTGATTTGATCATCTGGATCATATGGCAGTGATCCTTATAGCACTATTTTCATTGCTACTTCATAATAGTAATATTGCTCCTGTTATGAATCGTAATGTAAATATCTGATATGCAGGATGTTTTTTCACTCACTGGACCAAATAACCGATACACCCAAATTTGAATGCTGGTGGGGTTGGAGAGATGTTGATTTTGTCATTTGGGAATTGTAGTTGCTGGTATTATAGTTCACCTACAATCAAAGTTCACCTACATTTTGAGCCCCGCCAATGATAGAATTGAGCTAAACTTCCCACACACAACTCCCATGACCAACAGAAAATACTGGAAGGATAAGGAGGGCATTGAGCTTGAGTCTGGGAGTTGTAGTTCACCTACATCCCAGAGAGCACTGTGGACTCCAACAATGAGGGATCTGGACCAAACTTAGCACGAATCCTCAATATGGACAAATGTAAACACTGGTGGAGTTTAGGGGGAAATAGACCTTGACATTTGGGAGTTGTAATTGCTGGGATTTATAGTTCACCTACAATCAAAGAGCATTCTGAGCCCCACCAATGATAGAATTGAGCCAAATTCCCACACAGGACCCCCATGAGCCACTGAAAACACTGTGCTCGAAAGCTTCAAATAGTCCAACGAAAGACAGCCAGGTTAGTAACTGGGGCGGCATACAGGGAGCATATAACTCACATGTTACGGCAGTTCCGCTGGCTGCCAGTTCACTACCGGGGCACAATACAAAGTGCAGGCTTTGGCCTATAAAGCCCTAAATGGCTCCAGTCCAATTTACCTGTCCGAATGCATCTCGCCCTATGAACCATCATGGAGATTAAGATCCTCCGGGGAGGCCCTGTTCTCCATCCCGCCATTGTCACAGGAGCGATTGGTGGGAATGAGACAGGGCCTTCTCAGTGGTGGCCAGGAAGTGAGTGCCTATGGAACTCACTTCCTGGCAAGATCAGATTGGCCCCCTTCCTCCTGTCCTTCAGAAGGATGGTAAAAACTTGGCTGTGGGACCAAGCTTTCAGGACAGTGCAATAAAGCAGAAATAGGAAACTTTACCAGGCCAATTTAGATTTGACGCAGATGACCAAGACGGTTTTAAACAGTGTATTTTAATATTGTGATAAATGTTTTTAATGTTTATGTATGCATATAATGAATTCCTGTCCCGGTATTGAATGTTTGCCATATATATGCTGTGCTCCGCCCTGAGTCCCCTTCGGGGTGAGAAGGGCGGAATATAAATGTTTTAAATAAATAAGTAAATATTGGCATAAACAGTGAAGACATTATTTTGAAGCTACATACTGACTACAGTATTGAGTTATACAACAAAGAGACATGGACAATTGTTGTGTTTCTGAGAAGTTTATTCTTCTTTCTCCCCTTTTTAACAGCATCATTGCCTTGGTGCCTAAAAGCACACATAAGTTTAACTGGTGGCAGGAGGTGGCACATTGAAAATAAAATAAAATAAAACATAAAACAAAGAAGAAGCTTCCCCTCCCAGCCAGTATAAGTTTTCTGTTGCCCTGGAGACTAGGATGCGGAACAATGGCTTCAAATTACAAGAAAGGAGACTCCACCTGAATATTAGGAAGAACTTCTTGACTGTGAGAGCTGTTCAGCAGTGGAACTCTCTGCCCTGGAGTGTGGTGGAGGCTCCTTCTTTGGAGGCTTTTAAACAGAGGCTGGATGGCCATCTGTCGGGGGTGCTTTGAATGCAATTTTCCTGCTTCTTGGCAGAATGGGGTTGGACTGGATGGCCCATGAGGTCTCTTCCAACTCTTAAGATTCTATGATTCCTTCCTCCCACCCATGTGTATACATATACATATATATATTATCACACCTCCATATAACTTCCCTCATCTCTTTGGCTTCTACCACCTGCTTTTCCTTCATGGAGATCAGCCTTAGTTAGTTTTGTTTTTCAGGTAGGCTGTCCTCAGTGGAGTTATTTGTGCGATCCATTGACTTGTCAATTGCTTGGCTTCTTCCCATTTGTACCGTGGCACATAACCAAAATCCCTTTGTGCCTTCCTGTAAGAAAAGCTGAATGGGGTATTCAGCAAAGTCAGAAGACAACGATTGACCCTAGGAACATATCTCACAAAAGGGCGAAGCAAGAAGCTCACGGTCTCCAGCAACATAGCATACCAATAAAGGATCGTCAGTGGCATAGCTAACTTGGGTTCAATACCAAATCCCAGCTCCTTGCTCAGCTCATAATTGAGATCTGAATAGCTTAAATGGGGTGTATCATCTGAGACAAAATAGAATTGTCCACGGATTCGCTTGACCTTCTCTGGATCCTTCATGGCTTTAGCTGCTTGGATATGAGCCCAAGCAACATTCCCCACATAAGCTGGATTGACCAGAGCCTGTGGTTGAGAGATCCTCAGAAACCTGTGGTTGTTTTGGAGACTCTCATCGAGATGACCCTGAAGATAAATACTCCCTTCTCCATAGAGATACATAGATCTCAAAGCACACGTCACAAAACTGCTCCCATCCTTCAGTGGTTGGCCATCCATCTCCAGAACAGATTTCTCTGCCTTTCTCTTGGTTTCAGCATAAGGAAAGCCTTGAGTGCTCTCGTACACTGTGTCTTCATCGCCATCATAGATGGGATCACCTCTGCAATTTGGACCCGTCACTTCAATGCTGCTCGTGTAGATAAAATACGGAACATTGTTGCGGAGACAACTCTCAAGCAGTAGCTGTGTCCCTTCACAAAAAAAAAAGATGAATTAGCAAGGTGATGCAAAGGACGTGGCTCATTGCAGAATGAATGCAAATACCTACATACACATGTCAATAGTTATACTCATTAACCTGCATACCTTGTACACCTATGGTGCAATAAGGGTCTTTGGACTGTAATAAGATGTTGCTGTTGTTTGATGATGATACCTATACAAAGTTGTCACATGCACGCTGCCAATTTTAATGATAACTATATTCTACCAAGATGATTTGCGGGAGAGCTCACTCTGACTAAAACAATCTGAACAGCTTGAAGGAAGCTGGAGAGGGAGATTATTCATATTCATAAACCAACATCAATGTAGTTTCTTCCAAGTCTACCTCAAAGACCGATTAGTTTATTCTTCAGCATTGCCAGAAATCTTAACCTGAGACTTACACCCCTTCTATACTGCCATAGAATCCAGATTATCAAAGCAGAAAATCCACATTATCTGCTTTTGAACAGGATTATATGAATCTACACTTCCATACAATCCAGTTCAAAGCAGATAATTTGGATTTTATATGGCAGTGTATGAGAAGGGGACTAAATCTGAGCATGGCTTAACCCCTGAAACTTTATAGTTGTGTCCTTTCAACATATAAAGCAGACTTAATTTCCCCGTTGCTCTCTTGGTGTCCTCTATTGTGGTTTATCAATCAACTGCTGTAATTGCTGGAACACCCCAGCAAGCGAGAGTCCAAAAGTGGCAGGCTCAAACCCAGAACCTCAATCAATGGCTGATACCAAATGAGAGACTCCCCACTGGGCACACAGAAAACTGGGCGACTTGGAAGGCGCTGAACAGACTGCGCTCTGGCACCATGGGATGCAGAGCCAATCTTAAGAAATGGGGCTACAAAGTGGAATCCACGACATGCGAGTGTGGAGAAGAGCAAACTACAGACCACCTGCTGCAACGCACCCTGAGCCCTGCCACATGCACAATGGAGGAACTCCTTGTGACAACACCAGAGGCACTCCAAGTGGCCAGATACTGGTCAAAGGACAATTAATCAACTACCGAGCTTGCAAATTCTGTGTTTTGTCTGTCTGTTTGTTTTTGTTAAAAATGTAATACAAATGTCTGGTTGCTGATGACACGATAAATAAATAAATAAAATCAACTGCTGGATCATCTGGATTATGGGGAGGGGGCATGGTGGCACAGTGGGTTAAACCCTTGTGCTCCTGAACTGCTAACCTGAAGGTTGGCTGTTCAAATCCGCAAGACGGGGGTGAGCTCCTGCTATTAACCCTAGCTCCTGACAACCTAGCAGTTCGAAAACATGCAAATGTGAGGATATTGATAGGTACTGCTTCGGTGGGTAAAGTCAAAAAGATGCTCCAAACAGTAATGCTGGCCACACAACCAGGAGGTGTCTATGGATGGACGCAGGCTCCTTGATTTGGAAATGGAGAAAGAGCACCTCCCCCAGAGCCACAGATGAGCACCATCTCCAGAAGCCGGACATGAAAGGTGAAGTCTTTGCCTTTGTCTATGTGTGTGTCTCATTGTATGTCATTGTAATAAGGCATTGAATGTTTGCTTGTGTCTGCTTATGTACTGTAATCCCTCTGAGGTCCCTTGGGGAGAAGGGCGAATATAAATATAAAAGTATTGTCGAAGGCTTTCATGGCTGGAATCACTAGGTTCTTGTGGGTTTTTTCGGGCTATAGGGCCATGTTCTAGAGGCATTTCTCCTGCAGAGAGGAAACAACCAGGCACATCTTAACACCTCTCAACAAAAGATTTTCCCAGGCTCAGCCAGGCCTTCAAATGCTAATGAAGGTGGTCAGTTGAAACATTCACACCTAGCTCCAGCAGAGAAGAGCTCTTTGCCCCACCCCAGCCATTCCACAGATATATAAACCCATTGTCCTAATTCCAACAGACCTCACTACCTCTGAGGATGCTTGCCATAGATGCAGGCGAAACGTCAGGAGAAATGCCTCTAGAACATGGCCCTATAGCCCGAAAAAACCCACAAGAACCTATAAATAAAGTGTTGTTGCTGTTGTTGTTGTTGTTGTTGTTAGAGGCTTGGTAAGGACGAAAGACATGCTGAATTTGACCATTATTATTCCTCACATTTCCATGGTATAACAAGTCCAGCCATGCTGGAGAGGTCTACCTTGGAAGAGTGAACTTTCTTGGAGAAAGACCAGACATCCTTCTTTCTATGGCTGAGTCTATCTGACCCCATTTACACTGTTATATAAAATTCCGATTATCTGATGTGAGCTAGATTATATGACAGTGTAGACTCATATAATCCAGTTCAAAGCAGATAATGTGAATCATCTGCTTTGATAATCTGGATCAAATGGAAGTTTAAAAGAGGCCATAGACAAATCTGGGCATGGCCTAACAGGACATGCTGAGCTGAGGGCAGGGCAACTTGTGGTGATAAGGCAGGACAACTTTTTGTTGATTTTGGCATTTAGCATAGGGCTGACAGAGATCATTGCCACACACTTTCCTTTCCTTTTCCCTTTCCTGTTATCCTTTCTTACAGCACTGTAAGATGGTGTGATCTATCACAATGAAGGACTTTGAAGCCAGCCCAGGTTGGAGTGAGCTTCCAACCAATTTGTGTAGCTTGCTGTCGACCTTTGCAGCATGAAAGACAGTTGCATCTGTCAAGTAGGAAATTTAGGTACCGCTTATGCGGGGAGGCTAATTTACGAGACCATAAAAATCTCCAGCAAGCATGCAAAGAATGAGAAAGTATTTAATCAGTGTCACAAATGGGTGGTGAAGCGACAACTCCCCTAGTGGCTAAAATACCCTATTTAACATTTAAGCTGGAATGTTAAATAGCCTCTGAGTGTCTGTCTATATATGTTGTGTGTCTATGGCATTGAATGTTTGCCATGTATATGTACATTATAATCCACCCTGAGTCCCCTGCAAGGTGAGAAGGGCGGAATATAAATACTGTAAATAAATAAATAAATAAATAAATAAATAAATAAATAAATAAATAAGGACGAACTGAAGCAGGTGGTGGGCTGAGAAAGAGAGTGAAAATACTAGGCTTATACACACTACAGCAACTGCCCCATGAAATCCCACCAAGAAAATCTTTTTATGGCACCTGATTTCTGAAAAAGTAAGATGCTGCTAGTGTGCAAATCCATTTTAGGGCAAACGTTGCCTATTCAGAGGTGAAGAAAAGGCCTCACAGGAGACCCTTTTTTCTCTATCATAGCTCCAGAGCCCAACTCAAATTAAATCAAGTTGACCCTATCTCATTCAGTGTCTAGGTTTGGACACTTCATTATGTTTTTCATGCACCTCCACCAATTTCAATGCTGAAGCTACTTTTGACCATTTCTAACTAGATAAAAATAACCTAAAATGTTTTTTTAATATCGTTTTTATTAAAGAAGATTAAACAACACAAACAAACAAACAAGCAAACAGACAAACATGCAAATTAAAAAATGGCTACAGCAATTGAGGGCTATATAATTCCCTCTATATATGCTAAGTTCTTACATACTTATCAGTGTCTGATTTTGTTTACAGTATACGCCAATGTACACATAACTACCCATCTAATCTATAACAAATACAAAAATCTAACTACTCAGTCAACTCCCTCCACCTCCGTACAGTGCAATACAACACATACATATATAGATTCCCCTTAACTTCCAGGTTCCTCAAGCGAAACTGTGTTTAATTTCGTTCCTAACATATCCTAACTTACTGGTTAACCTGTAACCTACTTTGTCCTAGTCTTTGGGATTCTTCAAAACCTAAAATGTTTTGAAGATGTCAGTTCACAAATGTGTTTTGCCTCAACTTTATCTAGCCTTACCTCGGACATTGACGTCCCAGAGCGTGCGCTTGTCCACGTGGCCTAAGATGTCAATGATACAAGCTGTATGGATGACGAGGGAGATGCCTTGGACTGCTGTCTGAAGAGTTGCCATGTCCCGAATATCCCCCTGAATGACTGTCAAGAGGGTTTTTGTATTTACTTCTGGAGGAAACAAAATGAGATATGATGAACAGCGATTGGGCACCATCCACTCAGTAAAGAGCAAACAGTGGAGTTTACCATGTAGCTGTGGTGGCGCAACTTTTGTTGCCTTGTGTCGGCTGAACTGCTGACCTGAAAGTCGGCATTTTGAATCTGCGAGATGGGGTGAGCTCCCTTCTGTCAGCTCCAGCTTCCCATTCAGGGACATGAGAGAAGTCTCCCACAGGATGGTAAAACATCCAGGGCAACATCCCTGCAGATGGCCAATTCTCTCACACCAGAAGCGACTTGCAGTTTCTCAAGTCACTTCTGACACAATAAAAAAAATGTACTAATTGTTGCTGTGTGCAATATCGTCTACATTACAAAGCAGGCCATAGACAATAACATATTTTTACTTTGTATTTTTTATCTTACTACAGCCTAAGAGTAGGCAAAGTATGTATCTGACTTTAAATTCTCCTGAAGTATTTTGGGCTTTATAGTTTAGGAAGGGGCCTTTAAAATGCTCAGCCAGAGCGTTCCTGGGCTTTTCTAAACGACACACTTTAGACCCACTTTAGACCCACACATGTTGTAGGAGGGCACACACTGAAACAAAAGAGAAATATGATCCGCTAGAGTAGAATCCCATTCTGGAGGGAGGCTCGCGCCAGTGAGTTCCTTCAAGACATGGGGGTTCTGTGTGTGACATTTGGCACAATTTTATCGTTGGTAGGGTTCAAGCTCTTTGATTGTCGGTGGACTATAAATCCCAGCAACTACGACTCCCAAATGTCAAGGTCTATTTTTCCCAAACTCCACCAGTGTTCACATTTGGGCATATTGGGTATGCATGCCAAGTTTGGTCCAGATCTATCATTGTTTGAGTCCACAGTGCTCTCTGGATGTAGGTGAACTACAATTCCAAAACTCAAGGTCATTGCCCACCAAACCCTTCCAGTATTTTCTGTTGGTCATGGGAATTGCATGTACCAAGTTTAATTCAATTCCATCATTGGTGGAGTTCAGGATGCTCTTTGATTGTAGCTTAACTATAAATCCCAGAAACTACAACTCCCAAATGACAAAATCCACCCCTCCCCAACCCCACCAGTATTAAAATTTGGACGAAATCTGTATTAAGGGGTCGCGGCATTAGGAAGGTTGAGAACCACTGGTCTAGATCGAGGGAAGTCTCTGTTCTGCTTTGGTCAAACCTCATCTGGAATGCTGTGTCCAGTTCTGGGCATCATAATTCTAGAAAGATATTGACTGGCTGGAAGGCGTCTAAAGGAGGAAGAGTAAAATGGTCAAAGGTCTGGAGAAAATGAATTCCTATGAGGAGTGTCTTAAAGAGCTGGTTATCTTTAGCCTAGAGAAGGGAAGGTGAGAGGAGACAAAATAGCCAGGTATAAAGATGTGAAAGGATGCCATAAGGAAGAGGGAGCAGGCTTGTTTTCTGATGCCCTGTAGACTAGGACTCAATCAAGCCTTGGGTTAAAATTACAGGAAAGGAGGATCCACCTGAACATTAGGAAGAACTTCCTGACCGTAAAAATCATAGAGTTGGAAGAGACCTCATGGGCCATCCAGTCCAACCCCCTGCCAAGAAGCAGGAAAATTACTTTGAAAGCGCCCCCGACAGATGGCCATCCAGCCTCTGTTTAAAACCCTCCAAAGAAGGAGCCTCCGCCACACTCCACCTCAGAGAGTTCCACTGTTGAACAGCTCTCCCAGTCAGGAAGTTCTTCCTAATGTTCAGATGGAATCTCCATTCTTGTAGTTTGAAGCCATTGCTCTGCGTCCTACTCTCCAGGGCAGCAGAAAAACAAGCTTGCTCCCTCCTCCCTATGACTTCTTCTCACGTATTTATTCATGGCTATCATGTCTCCTCTCAGCCTTCTCTTCTTCAGGCTAAACATTCTCAGCTCTTTAAGCTGCTACTTATAGGGCTTGTTCTCCAGACCCTTGATCCTTTTAGTTGCTGTTTTAGAGCTGTTCAACAGTGGAACTCTCTGCCTCGGAGTGCAATGGAGTTTCCTTCTTTGGAGGCTTTTAAACAGAGCAGTGCAATGGGTTAGACCCTTGTGTCAATTGAAATGCTGATCTGAGGACCTATAGGTCAGTGGTTTGAATCTGCAAGATGAGGTGAGCTCCCGTTGTCAGCCCCAACTTCCCATGGATAGCCAGGTGAAAGGATGCCCTAAGGAAGAGGGAGCACGCTTTTTCTCTGATGCCCTGTAGACTAGGACTCAATGGAGCCATGGGTTAAAATTACAGTAAAGGAGAATCCACCTGAACATTAGGAAGAACTTCCTGACCATAAGAAGAGCCGTTCAACAATGGAACTCTCTGACTCAAAGTGTGGTGGAGGTTCCTTCTTTGGAGGCTTTTAAACAGAGCAGTGCAATGGGTTAAACCCTTGTGTCAGTTGAAATGCTGACCTGAGGACCTATAGGTCAGCGGTTTGAATCCGTGAGACGAGGTGAGCTCCCGTCTGTCACCCCCAGCTTCCCATATTCAAATGACATGGAGATTCCAATTGAACATGAGGCACAGAGTGCTCCTCTTTGGGGGCAAGGTGGCCCTCTGGCCAAGGGAACCAGAGGCCAAGGTGACCCTCTAGCTCCCTTCCTTCTTTCCTTACCGCCAAACTCCTGCCGTGCCTCCATCCCAACGGCTTTGTCCAAGGCGCGCACCTCAGTTGGCCCGCCGTCTCCGTTTCCTTCCTCCAGCAACTGGCACACAATCCTCCTGCCCAGGAAGCCCCCGGCTCCCGTCACCAGGCACCTCAGGCCCGCCAAAGACATGATGAGGAGGAGGAGGAGGGTGGCTTCAGGGTCTGGCTGTGAGAGCCCTCCCGCCCTTCCCTCTCCTTTTATTCCCCGCCAGAAGAAGCCAGCCAGCCTGTGGCCCCGCCCTGGGAGGAAAGAGACCTCGAGCCCATCCATCTCCAGAGAAAAGGGGCCTGTCCTCTTTGGAAGTGGGATGCGTCTTTCATTCCCACACAGCCATGCGATATGAGGGAATGGTTTTGAATGGCATCCCCTTTCCCAAAAAGTGCAATTAACACCACAAGCTCACACACTGAGGGCCCTTCCACAGCTGTACAGTATAAAAAAAACCCCTCATCACCTGTATATGGCAGTGTGGACTCAGGGCCCTTCCCCAGAATATCAAGGCAGAATGACCCACGATATCTGCGTTGAACTGAGTTGTCTGAGTCCACACTCAGGGCCCTTCCACACAGCCCCATATCCCAGAATATCAAGGCAGAAAATCCCACATTATCTGAGTGTGGACTCAGATAACCCAGTTCAAAGCAGATACTGTGGGATTTTCTGCCTTGATATTATGCGTTATATGGCTATATGGAAGGGCCCTATGGCCCCTTCTGCACAGCTGTATAAAACCCCATATCATCTGCTTTGAACTGAGTTATATGGCAGTGTGGACTCATGGCCCTTCCACACAGCTGTATAACCCAGAATACCACATCTGCTTTGAACTGGGTTATCGGAGTCCACATGGCCAGATATGCCAGTTCAAAGCAGAAAATGTGTGGTTTTATTCAGCTATGTGGAAGGGGCCTCACATAACCCAGTTCCAAACAGATAATGTGGGATTTTCTGCCTTGATATTATGGGGCTCTTCCACACAGCCCTATATCCCAGAATATCAAGGTAGGATACCCCGCATTATCTGAGTGTGGACTCGAGGCCCTTCCACACAGTCCCAGAATATCAAGGTAGGAAATCTCACATTATCTGAGTGTGGACTCGAGGCCCTTCCACACAGTCCCATAATATCAAGGTAGGAAATCCCACATTATCTGAATGTGGACTCGAGGCCCTTCCACAGTCCCAGAATATGAAGGTAGGAAATCACACATTATCTGAGTGTGGACTCAGGGCCCTTCCACACTGTCCCAGAATATCAAGGTAGGAAATCCCACATTATCTGAGTGTGGACTCAGGGCCCTTCTACACTGTCCCAGAATATCAAGGAAGGAAATCCCACATTATATGAGTATGGACTCAGGGCCCTTCCACACAGTCCCATAATATCAAGGCAGGAAATCCCACATTATCTGAGTGTGGACTCAGGGCCCTTCTACACAGTCCCAGAATATCAAGGCAGGAAATCCCACATAATCTGAGTATGGACTCGGGGCCCTTCCACACAGTCCCAGAATATCAAGGCAGATAATCCCACAATATGTGCTTTGAACTGGGTCATCTGAGTCCATACTGAGATAATGTGGGGTTTCCTGCCTTTATATTCTGGGATATAAGGTTGTGTAGAATAAAATCCCACATTTTCAGCTTTGAACTGGACTATCTGGCAGTGTGGAGTCAGATAACCCAGTTCAAAGCAGATATTGTGGGAATTTCTTCCTTGATATTCTTGGTTATATGGCTGTGTGGAAGGGTCCTAAAGGGCACGACGGAGCAATGGATTCAAATTGCAGGAAGGAAAATTCCAGCTAAGCATTTGGGACAACTTCCTGATGGCAAGAGCTGTTCAGAAATGGAATATGCTGCCTCAGAGTGCGGTTGAGTCTCCTGCAGATTGGTAGAATGTCCTTTCTTTTTTTTTAAAAAAAAAATGCAGCCAGACTTCTAAAGCAAATTTTATAGCAGCTATAAAAAATTATAGCTGCTGCATCTTTTTTCCCCCCTGATCAGCCAGTTGAATTGGGTCTCATTAATTTCTCTGGGCATGAGCCTAAGGGCCCTTACAGACAGTGCCTTTATCCCAGGAGCAATCTGGAGGGTAGCCAGATGCTGTTCTCTGTAAACCCTGTAGTAATCACAACAAAAGGCAAAAAACCGCAAGATTTCCAAGTGCGGGAATATCACAGTTTTCAGCTGAATATCTGGATCTTTGCATGTCTGTATGTCCCTGCAATCGGAAGTCACGGAATTTTTTTATCTGGTTTTGTTTCCGGGTTCAGATGCTTGTTCCTGATTGGTCAGTTTCGAAAAAAAGATGACACTTCAGTAGAAGGCAAAAACTTTGTTTGTGTGGCAGATATTTTATGAAACATGTGGAGGCAACAGTTTCTCTGGCCTGCACATTAAACGGAACTTATGCAGATATGCAGTTATGCGGATATCTGCATATCCACACATCCTAACTGCCAAGGTTTATTTTTTACTACCTACTACAGGCTGAAGGAGGGACATTGAAGTGCTAAATATTGAGAGTCAAGGTCATGCAGGTGGCTAATAGGAAAAGCCATGTATAACCCAGAAGCAGGACTCTGTTGTTGGATGCCACAAGTAATCTGTCTAGACAGATGGCCAGGCAGCCAGACTGTAAAAATAGTAGATAATGACAAAGTTATGTTCCTGGCTTAAAAGTGTGTGTTCCTGTTTGTGTACTGCTGACTTAGGCAATAGTGGTCATACCCCGTGAAGTTTGTTTGTGTGGGAGATAGTTCATAAAACATCTGGAGGGGAAAATAAAGCGACTTTTTGGTAATTCGTGTATCCAAAATTTTGCATATCCACATCCCAAAAGCTTAAAAAAAACCCAGGCATTGTCCAACCGAAGTCCTGTGATGGCCATCTTGGGAGTCTCTAAATCTTGGAACAGAGCATGTAGTCTGGACAACAGAGGCAGCAATCCCTGGACAATAGGTCTGTCCCAGGAATTTTGGCCCCTCACTAAAACCCGTGATTAAGTGCTGTCTGGAAGCACCATAAGTTTTCCTTTTTATCTTTTTGGGAGTACAGTCCCTCCAGTGGCTGCATCAGTGCTACAAATGGCTGTTTGGGGGGGGGGGGGGGTTCTGGATGTTTCAAAACTAGCTCTGAACTAATGAGGCATTTGGGAGTTTCAATTGCCTCTTGACATTCCTTAATCTGCTGCTATTTGGCACAAGGTTTGGGGTTGCATGCTGTTTGGGCACATTTTCCTTCTCTTTGCAAATCTTTTGCAAATCGGTGAGTGGCTATGTCATACCAAATATTACCCAGGTGGCCCTCCCATACAGCCCCCAAACCCAGTGCCAGATTACTGAGGAATGCCAACAGACTATCATAATTTTGAAAGCACTCAAAAGGCCACATAAAATGAGAACAAAACAGCTGAGACCATCAAAGTTGTAATTGGAGGTGAACCCCCCTCCTCAGGGCTCTGTAAAAGATAGTTCAGAATCAGGGAATCCATAGTATTGCCAAGGACCTCAGGCTGGAATGATCCCATAACCCCTTGTTTCTCTTCCTGTTTTTATGAATGGACTTTGAGGGGGCTGGCATGAGTTCCCCTTCAACCCTGCATGATCCCCCCCTTCCCTATGAACTCTGTGTATGCTCCCATGCCCCATTTCTCATTCCCTGTATGTATGTATGTCTATATAAGGAAATATGAAGCAAAGCTGCCTTTTCATAAACCAGCAACTCATGGCTCTTGGAGTTTCCAAACTTCCTGGGCTAATAATCCCCTAACAAAGGACTCAACTAGATCCATTTGCATGGACAGTAAGTAAATGGCTCTACTTGCCTGTACCTCGGAGGGCTGATAGCCAGGCCATCCAGAATAATGGAGTTTATGTACATATTGAACCACTCAACACAAAGAACATTTCCCCATTTGTGGAGAACCGGTGATTTGTCACTGCCTCCCTGCTGTGCTACATCCTGACCTCAGGAACCTATCTCTGCTTCATCAATGAACTCCATATTGCAAGACAGTAAGATAAAGGACCTGGCCTCTCAGGGTTAGACAAGAATGTTAATTCAAGGAATCAAACAATAACTCATGCCAGGCTTGAGAGCCTAAAGCTATTGCCTAGCCATTTGGCAAACACCGGTCATTTGTAATCCAGTCACCTGGACATTTCTTCATTGTTTCCCTGTGTCCCTCCCACCTCATTGGCTGAGCGACCAAAGTAGGGCCAGGGCCTCATTGGATCTCCTCCGGCTCACTGACGTCACAGCAAATCACAATGAAGCCGGCTCAGGGGGGTGGGCATGAAAACTTTTTGAATCTGAAAGCTATATATTCTGTATTTATCTGTCTAGCAGACATGTAAATTTGTTGGCAGATTACTGCAGTCGTCATCCTTTCCAGCTGGAATGAAATAAAACCTCGGTGGATTTTCTTCAACTTGGTGAGACTTTATTTGGGAAAATTAGGAGAAAATCTTTTTTGCGCTTGCCATCTCGCCAGTTGTTCCAGATCCTCCTTTTGGGTCTGGCTGGTCTCTTCCTAGGCAGGGTCTCCCAAATTCGTGTTCGGCATCAAAGTTATTCTCTAAATACAATTACAAATTAAAATACTTCCCAGGCAAGAAAATGGTTTGTCAAGGCTTCTCCTGTACACTAATCACACTAGAGAAAAAAACCCCCACTTAAAATCAGGTTGCTGGCTCCTGCAAAATTCTGGGGTTTGTAGTTTAGGGAGGAGCCTTTAACAGCCTCACTAAACTACAAACCCTAGAATTCTGCAGGAGTCAGAAACCGGATTTAAGTGGATTTTTTTCTCTAGTGTGATGAAATGAAAAGTGATATTATTGTGGGTCCTCAGATCAGAGTTCAAAGGTTTATCACTATAGATTTGCCTTGGAACAATACCTGATCACAACCTGATATTTGATAAAATAAAGTTAATCTTTCGTAGGCTGCAATCTTGGAGGGGGTCCCAAGGCCATCAAGTCCAACCTCCTACTCAATGCAGAATCTTCAAGTGTGGTACTGGCATCTAAATCCTTGTTTTTTCAAGTCTTTTATTCTATTGTATAGTTAGTTGTGGCTTCCACCCTATCCCTTGGCTTTTCTCTAAGTCACATATTTGTGTTTAAAGCCTGCTTTGGTAGAGATATTTGAGCTATCATCTCC